CCTCTATGGTTGTTACAGGATGATTTTGACCCTTTCTTATATATTGGAACGATAAGTGATTGTGACCAGTCAGAGGGGATTGCGTCTGACTCCCAGATTTTAGCTAAAATATTAGTCAACCTAGTCGTTAAAATTGGACCACCTTCCTTAAAGACCTCTGGAATCAATCCATCTGGACCAGCTTCCCTTCCTCGTTTTAGACTAACTATGGCCTTTTGAACTTCAGCTAGATTTGTGGGACCTACTTTAATGTTCCATTCACACTGTCTGGGAATGGTGGGTAGTTGTACAGTAGCTGAAGGCCTGCTGATCTGTTCTCTAAAATGTTCCGCCCATCGTTCTAAACGTCTGGACTGGGAGCAGATAAGAACGTCGTCTTTTTCCGAGATAGTCTCACTTACACCTGACTTTTTAGTTCGAGTTTCTTTCATGAGTCTGAATAGTTGTCTGGTGTTACCTATAGCTGCCGCCTTTTCCATCTCTTTTGTTTCGTTGCCCACCACTGCTCACGATCATTCCTTAGACTTTTGGTTAACCTAGATCTAATTTGCTTTCGCTCTTCATCGTGTTCAGAGCCTGATAGGATGAGTTTGCGAGAATCCATCAGTGCAATAGACCTTGAAGAAATCCATTGGTTCTTAGTAACCCTTTGGTTTAAGTCACTAATAGATGTCACTGCTGTTTCCACAGCTGTTCGTATATCTTTCCAAGCAACATCTGGGTCAGCCTCGTTTTCAGAACTACCTAAGTGTGACCTCAGTTGTTCTTGGAACCTACTTTCGGTTTTCTCCTTACTCATTTCAGTTCTAATGAGTCTTTTTTGTGTGGCCTTTTTGCTTCCAGTGAGGCGCAAGCAGATGCGTGCTCGCATTCAGGACATGTTCGGAGTCCAAGCAAGTACTCCAGAATGAGCGACAATCTTCTATTGACCCTCTCCAACGATGACTGATGGCAATATGGTCTATTTGAGTCCATCGTTGGTTTGGTGCAGGGGGTCGCCATGTTAGACGGTGTCTCTCCTTATGCTTAAAATTTGTGTTTGCTAAAAATAAACGATTGTCTGAGCACAGTTGTAGCAGACGATCACCGTTATCTGTTTGCTAAAAATAAACGATTGTCTGAGCACAGTTGTAGCAGACGATCACCGTTATCTGTTTGCTAAAAATAAACGATTGTCTGAGCACAGTTGTAGCAGACGATCACCGTTATCTGTTTGCTAAAAATAAACGATTGTCTGAGCACAGTTGTAGCAGACGATCACCGTTATCTGTTTGCTAAAAATAAACGATTGTCTGAGCACAGTTGTAGCAGACGATCACCGTTATCTGTTTGCTAAAAATAAACGATTGTCTGAGCACAGTTGTAGCAGACGATCACCGTTATCTGTTTGCTGTGCCGGAATACTAAAATACCCACCTAAATGTCTTTCTGTTTTCTTTGAGCTACCTACCTGGCATTAAAGTCATTCGCCACGAGTACCATGTCTGAACGTTTAGCTTTCTGGTGAAGTTCAGAGAGTTTCCTGTAAAATTCATCTTTCACTTCATCCGAACTGCAGTCAGTGGGAGCGTAGACAGAAACGACGAAAAGGCAACGACGTGTGTCCCTATCCTTTCGAGTTCTTACGGAGCCGTTTAGCCGAACAGCGCATAGACGACTGTTAACGGGGATCCGCTCTAATAGAGCTTGTTCCGCCCTCATGCTTAGTGCTATGCCTACACCTGCAAGTCCACGAGAACTAGTCATCGGGTCGCCAGATACACGGAGGGTGTATGTCGTCGGCTCTCCGTTTACCGAGGTGAGGTTAAGTGAATGACGACACTAGGATCCCGTATGCGTGTTTCGGAGACACAGCATACATCAATTGTACGAGATTCTAGGGTTTTAGCCAAGGATACCTGCTGACTGACATAGTGTGCGTACGTTGAGGGCTCCAATGTGTAGTTTGGAGTGAGGTTTCAGTAGACCTGGTACAGCGTTTTGCGCACTAGAACCGTCGACTATGGTGACACTTGAGGAGGAAACCAAATGTGGAATTTTAGTGTAGAAAGTTGATGTAGTCATACCGCTCTTCAACCGACCTGTCTGACATGGTAGGACATTGAGGAACGGTTGTTCCAGCCAGTATAGCTTCATCACGATAGGCGAAGCCGACCACCACGTCAAGGTAGCAACAAGCGTCGGGAATCGGTATTTTGTGTCCATTTTTGGAAGCTGTCTTATTCAGTTTGTGGCTGCATTGAAAATATCATTCACTAGACGATGTGACATTCGCTGCCTTCAATAGTGTCCTGGAGTGATGTGTAACTTGATAAGTCTTCTTTGTTATAAAAGGTTTATAAATTCATCCTTCCATTCATTTTATCAGCTTTCGTTGATGTAGTCAGGGTATTGTTCTTAGAATTTCATATTCAGTCAGACTCTGATCACTATTTTGACCATTCTAGAAAATAAGCTTTGAAGTTGGTGACGAGCTGCTCTATATATGTGACCTACAGTACTACCAATCACATTGTAGAAACACATGTTACCGATCTTATGATGATTAGAAGTGTGGAAATCAATGTACTAACTAGGATTTCGCGAAATAGTACAATTCAAGACAGGTAAAACCCGATAAGCGAAAATGAACGGGCTATATTCGGGATTCGTAATCTGTCGGCAATCAAGTATAAAGAAATCATTAGTTCGTAAGAGTATCACATCCTCTACGGCTCAAATAGGAATTCAAATTTCCGCAATTGATTGTACCTTTTCTCCTTATGTTCATTGTGTGTCCAACTGTGTACTGGATGTAGAAACTGTGATCTAGAGTGTAAATCCTGGCGGTCCGTTTGAATATCTGGGAAACCTGTTCCTACCATGTAGGTATTTCGATAGATTATATCTTCTTAAGACACTACCATGTTTGTTAATCGCATATCTTACTCAGGCGCGTACTTCAAATGCTTACATCCAATTGCTTCACAAGAAACAGAAAAGTACGATCAGGGACTTCGTGGTGATTGGCAATACTTATTAGAGAGAATAAACATTGGACAGATTCCGAACTACCGATTCCTGACTCCCAATCACTAATTGGTTAGGTAAATCTACCTTCAACTCCTACTAAATCAAAACATGTATCGTGATCATGGTGTCGTTACAATTCAAGAATCTTGGTTAGATGATTTACAAGACGGTTGCCTAGTATCACTAAAAGACTACAATATCTATCATTACGGTAGACCACGCATTAAAAAGCGGTGTAGCTTCATTTTAAGTTTTCTGACTTTATTGACTGCTTAACTTAAAGGTGCCGTCCAAAACACATTCGAATAAATACAATTACGTTTATGTTAGCAACATCTACGTGACTGCACACCATCCTCACTATCTCATTTTACTGATAGATCCACTGAATTTGTTGTTACTGCATTCAGTGGTTCACGTTAGGTTGTATGCGGTGATTTTAATTCGTATGGCTGTTGATTTCTTACATAACTAGGTCACAGATGATCATTTATAATTGGTTTTCATTAAGGATGTAGGTATACATGTGACACGTGAACGTGCTCCACGATCACTGTATAACCCTTGTTCTACCGAAAGTGTATGGCAAGCTTGGAAAGAGTAAACTCTCAGACCAGACAAAAAAGTCGGATGCAGGAATTACCCTAACTATGCGGTTTCTGAAGCCGAGTGTATAGTTAATGAGATTTACATATAAGATGTAACACGTAGAGGCCAAAATTGGTGAAGGCTGGAACGACTGGTCAGTGTGACATGACCCAGCCTTACGAACGTGGTCTTCTGTGCAAATTATTTCTATTCGCAATAAAATATATCATTCTATTCCCAGCTCAAGTGTTATTCAAAAATGCTAAATGTCGTATTGCTGTCACGATAGGAATCGGAATAGCGAGTTATATGACTTCCATGAGAGATCTTATGGATAAGTTTTCGTGTGATGGCAAATCTACAAATTTGGGACTAGGTCTATTATCACGGTGGCAAAAGTAAATGTACTAATACCTAATTAGACCAAATCCACAGACTTGTATCTTGATAACTAAAACTACGGAGGGTGAAAGTACTTACAAGGCGAAAAATTTCGGAAGCTATATGGTCTAATAAACCTAGAGATTAAACATCTGAACTCAATGTTTACTCAGAAACCACGACCATGTAAAAAGTACTTGAAGAATTTACAGGTGAGAGGCAAATTAGGATTGATAACTAGCCGGATGTTTATGACTTAAACAAGTCCTTGTACGTCAGTCACCTGATATCATGCTTCCTGTATACGCAATTTTGAATAGTTGTATTCTGATTTTCAGACACTTAACTCGTTTCTGTATATATATTTCTTTGTTAGTATGGGGCTGTGCAGATTGTTGAGTCCCATTAAAATCATGAAGTGACTAATGTTAGACCACCGTTGAAAACCTGGACCGCTATTTCGTCTCAGTATGGGACTCCTCAACAGTGGGCTAAAGTTGATCGGCTAATGATTTGCACGAAATTCAAGAACCTCCACAACCCCAATAGTGACGTATATTACATACTCACTTGTGATTAGTTTCGAGCGGAAATCCCAGATTTTTAGTGAGAAACTTTGAGCAGTGGGGTTGAAATATGTTGGGTGTGAGGCAGTTGGCCAACCACAGATCTACAGGTAACTCTATCTGTTCTCAGGTGTTATTTATAGTTTTAAAGTCTATTACGAAAATTGGTAAAATTAGTGCTTTTTAAGACTACTAAGATAGGACGAATAGTAGTGGTTGAGAAATAATGTAAGACCGACGTGTTTATAATAAGAAATAGTACAGTAAATGCATACAATTTCAAGTCTAAAAATTCAATTTAAAAGTATCACTTGACGATCTTCCTAAGTATTCTCCAGAAAACTGCTATTGTAAACGTCAAAGAGAAAGAGCTATTAAACGTAACAAATGTGGCAGTCGAAGTTAATGTTTGTCTAAAACAAGTTTATTACGTGATAAAAAGAAGTCAAATGT